GAATTCCAGTTTGGATCATGCAGGAGCAGAACGGCTGCGTTATGTTTTAGACCCCATTTGGTTGGTTGATCTAAATATCAGCAATGTCAGCTGTCATCACCGGTGAAAGAATGGCCTAAATAATACAAGAATCGTCAAATATTTTGGAGTTCATTGGCTTCGGTAACAGTCTTCAAATGTGTGTCTACAGTTCCCGCTGACTGAAAGTTTGAACCGTGACAATGGGATTGAGCTGGCTGCGCCTCTGAAGGCGGCGCTACACAAATTGATGCTGACGTTTGAAAATTAAATTTAGACAAAGCATAGTATGTCAGTATAGAGGAAAGACTGAGAATAGGTATTGTATCAATAACATGAATTTTTAATGACGGTGAGCCCTTTAGAAGCAGTGGAACATGGCGTAAGTTAATAAAAATAACATTGACAAAATGGTCGTCATTTACTGTAACGTAATTACAAATTAATCTGATAACATCGATCGTTATTGACGTCGAAACGCCACTAAATCACACAGTAAGTAAAGTGAAGTTGTCCCTATGCTTACCTAATTAAGCATAACTACTCCATAAAGGCGTATGGGGTAGTGGATGTATAGCCCCACATTTTCTTGACCTCGGCACTAGTTGGAGGTGAGTGGTCAGCTTCACGCTCCGGCCGCTTTATCGCCAGGGAAAGATCCCCCGTTACCCATTGGCTAGGAGGCTGGGTGCTCTCCAGAGCCAGGCTGGGCGACGTGGAGAAGACCCTACTTGGACTCGAAATCCGAAACCTCTGCCGCCCAGCTCATAGCCGGTCACTATACTTACAGCGCTACCCCCGCTCCCACGTTCCTATGGAGCACCCTCAAACTATGCCTTCACTTTGGACAAGAAACGAAGCCTTATATGGATACAAAACAAGAGAAATTTAAAGTTTCGTCTATTTAAATCTGCACGATTTTAGGTATGGAAATGGAAGACAATCTAAAGTGAACGTCGACAAGCATTTCCCGGGTTTCATCTTTTATTAACATTTTATGGTGTAATTTTGATTTTATATCTAGTTCCCACGTAAGATTTGAACCTTGCTACATTTCTGCTGGATTCATTATCTGTATCTAGGTTACAACTTCTACCTGCAATCTGATGACAAGACATTAACTTTTACTTAATTTCTTCTGTGTTCACTTCTAGAAAAGCCTCCCCATTAGCGTCCAATATCTGTAAAATTATGACTATCTTCAATTTAAAGTTACTACCTTGCTATTAAGAATACAAAATGAAACCACAATTCCTTGGTTCTTTAACGATCAACATGCTTACGTAGACTTGAGGTTTTCACAGTGGTGACTATGAAGAATGTCGTCTTGTGGGATGTAGCGCCGTGTAGATCTTGTGTGAACCGACGTTTCGGAGGAATGTATTGCCTCAATCTTCAGAGTAGAAAATCCGCGAGCTGAGGAACGAGCGTGAACAGGTGGATGCAGACTGAGCCATTAGTATAAAACATCTCCGGCCCTGTTCTTATATAGTTACGTGTTTTTGACTAGTGGATCAGTCTGCAGCCACATGCTTACGCTGGTTCCTCAGCTCGCGGATTTTTCTGCTCTGAAGATTGAGGCAATACATTCCTCCGAGACGTCTGTTCAAACAATATCTACACGGCGCCACAGCCCAGGAGACGGCATTCTTCAACAAAAAGCTTGTTTGCGTGATAAGCAGTTAAATCAAGATCATAAATTCTAAATTTCAAAATTAATATTTGAAGAGGACTGCATAAAACTATGAAGCTGATATTGAAAGTTGGCTTGTATTTGTATAAATTAAAGGGAACTGAATTTAATTATAATAAACACATTTCATTGCTTCAATTATCACCATATCATCGTTATCGGGAATGAATTAAACGCATATATATACATATATCGACAAGAACTGGTATAAAATGCACAAACTTTGGAAGACGTAATTGAACAGTGTGTAGTTGTGATCAAAAAGACAGAAGTGTGCATAATAGTCTGCTCGACAGTGTCATCAGTACACGTCCACCACAACATAAAAATTAATACCAGTCAGTCTAATGAAAACAAGACACGTTAACAGACACTTGTTACTAAACAAATGAAACACACACAGCACTGCATTCATGGGACAATTAAAGATTATGTAAGGTGAATTCTGCGTCCACTGCAACTATATCGTGAATGTGAGATACAGCACATCTTTCCAAATGTAATTTCTCTTTTATACTAGTCGTTTCCATATCTATGATATATAACGCCGTTTTACGAACACTTAAACTCACCACGTACTGTAACCAGTTCGGTTTTGAAACTATATTTCATGGGAAAACTTTCTTCCTCTCTCTGGGTGTTTAGAAACTATTGTAAAATTTGAAAAATGTGATTCTAATAATTTTGTTCTCAGATTTAATGATGAAGTTACAGCACGAGGCAAAGTAAACCAAACTTTCCTCAAGTCGAAATTTAGAAAATATTATTTGCATGTAATATTTGAGGTTTTCACGGCGGTGACTGTTAAGATTACAGTCTTCTTGAATGTGGTGCCGTGTAGATCTTGTGTGAACCTCCGAAACGTCAGTTCACATAAGATATACACGGCACCACATCTAAGAAGAGAGAATTTTTCAATATTATTTGTATTTTGTAGGGTTTCGGACAATTATTGCTGGATGTCTCTCAGTAAAATTTCTATATAATTACATCGTAATTAAATACAATATCTACGAATTAATAGGAGGAGACATTTATCCAGTCGTATGTATCTATCTCCATGAAGTAAAATCCTTCTTAAGAAGTTAATTACAGAACTGCAGGAATGGGCTGTGAGGAATAGTGCTGACATCTACAGTTAATGGGCTTTGGTAAGGTAAAGGTAAAGCTATCCCTGTAACAGACTGTTTAGGACCATAGGTTTGTAAGGCGTCGAGGGTCCCACATTTTCTGGACAATCGGCTAACAGATGGCGGTGAGGCTGTCAGCCTAATGCGCCGGGGGCCCTTTACCCTCCAGGAAGATACTTAGTACTTATGTCTGTTAGAGGCTCAGTCAATAGCAAGGCCACAGTGCGGTTGGAAGGATTAGGCCAATTTAAATATCTAATGACCTCATCGGGAATCAAACCACGATCTTCCGGTTTGTAGCACAGTGCCTCAACCAACTACGCTACCGCATAATTACCCTTTTTGAATCTGAGTGTAGAATTCTGTAAGCGCTTCCTACGAATCCAAAGTGCGTATGAACGAGAGTCTGCGGAGGTTAATATCCACTCATTTCGATTCTAACCTCGCCCGGACGAGAGTAAAAATAAATCTTTTGCAGTCAGACTTAACGAAGGCACGCAGTTACGGTATAATTTGGATCTCGAAAGTACACCAGACAAGACTGCTCATCCCTCAATGTCAATTTAGCTGCTTGTGTTAAGTGTGGTCACGACTTCGGAAATGGTGTTCACAACATTCGCTCGAATCCCTACATATTTTCCGCAGTAATAGTGGGGGGTTACTATTTATTTCATGATTATGTTTCCTTACAATGATCCAACTATTAAAATACTTGATATCATAGACAACAATGTTTTTTGCAATATAATTATACGAAAATTTCAAACACCGTATGTTTTTGTCCAGTGTAAGCATAATCGATTGCGTTAAAGTATTTTAACACCGAAGATTCTGCTGTCAAGAGCTATAAAATGCAGCAGAATAATAAACGGTTTCTTAAAAATAACTCTTGTCTGTAATTCTGTTACATTACTCGATACGAACTCTGTTCGTGGTACTGTCTACATACCCAAATACAGCTTTAAAAGTATTGTTGCATAGTGCAATTCATTTCCCTTTGCTGATCTTGATGTATTAAGGTGGTTAAATACTACCTTCATTTTTGGAATCTAATCTTGTTCAGTGATCAGACAATCAAATTCTTATTGCTGCTACTTATGAAGTCTGTACGCTGTATAATCAGTAGTTATACTCAAATTAATTCTTTAAATCATAATATTGTAACATGTATAGCTATGCAACGGCGCGATAAAGATCTTCTTGCTTAAGGTCACGCAACAAGAGGATGAATGTTTATAGTTGGTTCCTAGGCAACATTCACTGCGCCAATAGACTGGCGAGATACACGTAGTTATCATGTGACTTGTTTTCTGTGTGGTCTGCGCTACGCAACAATATAACCGTGTTTTGTGTCCATGGCTCGTGCTGAGAGGATATGAGAGAATGCGGGAACAGGAATTGACTTCACTTGAGTTCCGAAGTTCGAAGGGCACAGCACTGTGGCCAGAAGAGGAATTTGAAGACTTAATACGTGACGTTAAGTAACAGGAGGTAGGAGAAAACTGCATAATGAAGAGCTTCATAACTTGTACTCTTCTCCAAGTATAATTATAATGATCAATTCAAGGAAGATGAGGTGGGCAGGTCATGTAGCAAGAATTGGGGAGACGAGAAATGCGTATAGGATATTGGTGGGAAAACCAGAAGGAAAGAGACCACAGGGAAGACCAAGGCGTAGGTGGGTGGACAATATTAGAATGGATCTTAGAGAGATAGGATGGGATGGTATGGATTGCATTGATCTGGCTCAGGATGGGGACCATTGGAGGGCTCTTGTGAACACGGTAATGAACCTCCGGGTTCCATAAAATGCTGGGAAATTCTTGAGTAGCTACAGAATTGGCGGGCTCCACCAGATGGGCTCAGCTCCATGAGTAAATAAGTAAGTACTAAGTGCGTGACGTTACATGTGCTATAGTTACAGTAATCAACTGATTGCAGTTACGGCTAATGAAGATCCAATAAACCGATTCACCAATCCAAACCGGCGTCTTAGTCACCCATACACGTGACAATAATGACTGAGGTCAAGTTATAATATTATTTGTATCAGAATATAAAATACACAACTGAAACAACTAGTCTTAATAAGAAATTGCATTTACAGAAAGATGTCACTGAAGCCAGGGGTTATACGTGCAATACTCTGGGCACCGTACTCTCTGGTAGGGAGATGGATCTCGAAGTGGGCGACTCGCCACGATGGTTCCGCCCCCCGAATACAGACAAACTCTTCATCCCAGCAAACATTCTCCGGCGGCGATGTGTGTCCGGGAGCATCGAGTTAGCTCCCCCACCTGCACTGATATCTATGACATATACATACGTACGAGTATATAACTGGTTCAAACCAATGAGACGACAACAAGAACCGTTTTGCTGAACAAAGTTACATACATATGTAGGATTTGAAGTTCTCGAAGCAGCAGTTCCGGGATATAACCTCCGTGTAGTCGAAAGTCAGCCGATGTTTCGGAAGAACATTCCCCTTATCTACAAGGTCGAAGAATAAGCCGAGGAAGAAACCAAAGTGAAAGCATGTGGCAAGCGGAGCTGCGATGTTCCTCCGAAACGTCTGTTGACTTTCAAAGGACTACATGTTGTTAAATCCCAGAGAGATAGTATCCTTAAAAGTTGCACACTTCAATTTTCCAGTTTCAGTACCAAGGCTTCACATCTTGTGACTTGTGGGAATTTATATCGTGGTATACAAGGCTATCAAATTATCTGTAATTAAAGTAGCGCAGTTTGTTGCGCATAATTAAGGCTACACGTTAATTCGACAGCGCGATCGTTAGGCTGACTTATGGGTTATGGGTAAGCCCGACTTGAATTAGATAGGAACTACAGAAACAGGAACATTACATTTTATCTGACAGCCAAGCTGCACTCAAAGCACTTGACAAACACCAGATCACCTAAAAATTGGTCTGGGATTGCCACCAAACTCTCATGGAACTGGCCAAACATAACAGGCTGCCGGGGCATGAGTGTATTGCTGGAAACGAAACAGCAGACCAATTGGCTAAGACTGGAGCTGAACATCCGTTCATAGGACCTGAACCAGCCTGTGGCATCTCTATAGGAGTTGCCAGAAAGGCAATGAGGGACTGGACAAACATGAAACACAAGAAATACTGGGGATCCTTGACTGGACTCAGGCAAGCTAAGGGACTCATACGAGGACTCTCTATTAAAAGAGAGAACGAACTGTTGAAGTTGAACAGGAACCAGCTACGATGGGTGGTAGGACTACTTACAGGGTACTGTCACCTTAAAGAACACCTTTTCAAACTGGGACTAAGTGATAGTCCCACTTGTTAGAGGTGTCAAGAAGAGAATGAAACAGCCACACATATCCGGTGTGAATGTGAGGCCTTAGCTTATTTATGATTACGTCACTTGAGTCAATATCTTACGGAACCAAGTGACTATTTCGACGCCCCCACGTCCAAAATCCTGCGCTTCATTCGAAGTGCAGGATTGCTGAGGGGATAATTAAAAGGGAAAGCACAACAGATCACTGTAGGTCGCGGTGCAAGGGCCGAGAAGGCCCACTTCTTACACATTCATTGAAGCCCGACTTGAAGGAACGTGAGTTTGCATTGCAGGTATCCCGTTCAGTGAAATGATACAAATTCTGTTTATTACATTAAAGGCTATGTAATTATGTATGATTTCTGATGCAGCAGAATATTAGGCGTGGTCCTAGCTTTTCACTCCTTAATACACGTAAATATGCTTCCAATTCCAGAGGCAGTAGCTATTACATTATCATATCTATGTTCTAAATTATGTAAGGTTCTTCCCCTTTATTTGATTTCCCTTACATATACATCCACTAACGACAGCGAAATCCTTATTTTATTTTTTACCTGTTTCACGTCTCTCGAAGTTGATGTCAGTGTTTTCCGACAAGAATATAACAATGTCAACAAACTAAATAATCCCATAAAAGAAATATAGAATAAGTAAATAAATGGATTAATTTCTAGGTCTTTGTAAGTTATAGTGTGTTTCCTCAGATGTCTTCCTTATCCCCATAATCCTTGACACAAATTTCCTGTCACGTGGCTTCTTTAGATGTGAAATGTGAATTAAAATACTGTACCACTCACAATTTTGTATCGCATGCCTGCAGATTATCCATGCTCAGGAATATAGAATTTAGATTATATTGTGTAGAGATTATTATTATTATTAGCTGTGTCTGTAATTGGCCTTGCGGCTGTTGACTTGGCACATAAACAATAAAGAATTGAAGAATTATTATACAGAATGTCATATTTTATATTTTGTTCTTTAATTATTTTTGTGTATTTCTATGTACTCCTGCTAACTTTGTAATTGGCCTCTGTGTTGTTAAGTTTTGCAGGTAAATAAACACAAATTGAATTATTATTTTGTTCCCTTTTATTCCCATATGCAGGAATGTAGAATTCGAAATATTTTATTATGTTTATTAGATCGCTTGTGTGGTCTAGTGGTCAGAGTTCCTGGCTACAGATTCAGAGGTCCCGGGTTCGATTCCCGGCACTACCAGATTTCCTGAGAAGTAGTTGTTCTAGAACGGGGTCTACTCAGCCTCGTGAGGATAACTGAGGAGCTATTTCATGGAAATAGCAACTCTGGTCTACAAAACCGAGATTAACGGCCGTGGGGATCCGTTGCGCTGACCACGTGACACCCTCTATTCACAAAAGTTGGCATTAACTTGGCCGATAAGAGGCGGTCGCTGGGTCGGTATAGTTCGTTTGCGGACTATAGGCCACGGAGTTTGTTTTGTATTATGTTTATTATTCATTCCAAATGACGCATGCTCACGTTCAGAAGTTTTGAAGAAGATGGCGCACCAATCGCATTTCAGTAACAGGAGTGTACTGCAGATATGTCAGCCTGTTTCCCCTATAGCAGTTGGTGGCAAATGATTTACTCGTACATTAGGTTCAGATAAAGGGGCGCGCTCAGAGTAAATATTTTTTTGTTGACAATTTTTGGAACTCATTAACCTCATGGAGCAGGGTCCGTCTGGGCTCGGGGCAGTTAGGTGTTTGGGAAGGAAATCGCCGCATGCTTCGTGATCATCAGTCAACAATTATGAAATTATAAAAACATATTTAAAAATTGTCACCCTAAAACCTTTCCCAGGATAAAAATTTCTCACGTGGACGCGACTGAAGATTGTTGCCCTAGTTAAATTGTAAGAAAAATAGGCATATATATCTGAGTCTCTCATGTTGGTGTAAAAGCCCTGTTAACATTACGGTGTAATGTTAACCGTGTAGTCTGGTAGATAGATATAGATATCTGCTGTCTCTATCTTCTACATTTAAGATGGCTGCAGAATATGCCTCCGAAACGTTGGCACCAAATTAAACGCCGTATATTAGACGACCGTAAAGGTAAATTTGTTCCTGTGCTTAACTAATTAAGCACGACGCCATGAAGACGCATGCGGGTGTGGATGTATAGGTCAACATTTTCTTGACCTCGGCACTAGTTGGAGGCGAGTGGTCAGCTTCACGCCCCGGCCGCTTTACCCCCGGTACCCATTGGATAGGAGGTTGGGTGGACCCAACCGCCGGCGTGGACAACGTGGAGAAGAGAAAATTCTTGAATATACCGGGGCTTGAACTCAGCCCCTCGGTCGTCCAGCCCGTAGCCAGACGCTATACCGACTGTGCTATATCAGAAGACCTTAATATTAACAAATAACGTAATATAATTTAATATAAAAACGCTGATATCTTAAGTTATAACATTCATGCATTTGAAATACAGTAAATTAATACATGGCTTGGAAGAAGCTTCAATAGCAAAGATTCTTCGTATAAGGTAAAATCTACCTCTGTGCTTAATTAGTTAAGCATTATGCCATGAAGATATATGGGGGAGTGTAGGTATAGCTCCACCATTTTAACCCATACACTAAATGGAGATGAAATTCTTGGTAAACTTCAAAATTCAATGTTGATATGAACTTTAACGTGATATAAAGTTGGTTTTAGTGTAACAAGTACTTAGGCCTGCAGCTGTGTAACTCTAATCCTATTATGGATCCATTAGCGGAAAATTAATTCAAACGCTTGGTTACATACGAACTACATTTAATTTAGTATTTACGTTTCATATGAAGTGACAGCCTGACAGTGACAGATTTGTATCCAAACACACATTGCACTCGCAAATCAAACTCTTTACTGTTGATAAACATAGGTATAACATTGCGTATAAACTAATAAAAAGCCCGCTGAAATTTTAACGTTAAGATGTCTGTTTCTATATTTGTAGTTTATTCAACGATGCTGTCAGTAGCTTAGACTATACATTAACTCCGCGGCTTGTAGTCCGCAAGCGAACCATACCGACAGAGCGACCGTCACTTGTCGGTCAAGTTAGAGCCAACTTTTGCGGATAAAGGGTGTCACATGGTCAGCGCAACTAATCCCCACGGCCGTTAATCTAGGTTTTATAAACCGGAGCCGCTACTGTCTTGTAATAGATCCTCAATTATCCTCACGAGGCTGTGGATCCCGTTGCAGACTCACTATTCCTCAAGAAAACTAGTAGCGCCGGGACTCGAACCCGGGACCTCTGGATCTGTAGCCAGGAACTCTGACCACTAGACGACACAGGCGGTCTCAGTATCGACTGGTGATAATGTATTTTGGGTGAGTAGGGAAGAGATCGTGACAAAATTTAAAGCATCCATGAATTTTCTCAAAGGACCGAGTAAGCCACAAAATGGAGACCTCAGACAGTATAGTGGTGTCTTGGCTGAGATTCGAAAGGGGCACCTCCAAACGTTTCCATTTGAGCCATATTCCCTAATGGTGCGATTTTCAGAGTCATCAGTGAATTCTGAGTATAATACATACCGAGAAATCCATTCATGTGGACGTGCAACCATTTTCCTTATAAAAAACATTTTTTTCATTAATGTAGGACCTGAGGCTCTCACAGCAGTGGTTATGAAGAGTTCTATCTTCTGGGATATAGCGCTATGTAGGATCTGAGGCTCTCACAGCAGTGGTTATGAAGAGTTCTACCTTCTGGGATATAGCGCTGTGTAGTAGCTGAGGTTCTCACATCGACGGTTATGAAGAGTTCTACCTTCTGGGATATAGCGCTATGTAGGATCTGAGGCTCTCACATCGACGGTTATGAAGAGTTCTACCTTCTGGGATATAACTCCGTGTAGGATCTGAGGCTCTCACAGCAGTGGTTATGAAGAGTTCTACCTTCTGGGATATAACGCAGTGTAGGATCTGAGGCTCTCACAGCGGTGGTTATGAAGAGTTCTACCTTC